AAGCTGCTACTGCATTGACTATACATTGAGATTCAAACCTTTGGAAAGGGCTGTTGCAGCCCCCAAGATTTTTGTGATTGGAAAAACAAAACATGTCGGTGGTTGTTTTTGTGTATGTGAATCAGCACAGTTCTAGTGATTCAGATTAGATCTCGGGGCGGGGTGGGGGGCTAAATTGCCTCAGTTGCCGTGAAATGTTGGTGGGCAAGGTCTATCATAGACTAAAATGCTGGTGTATTTTAACTATCTTTGGGTGTAGCAAATGGCTCATGGATGCACATGTGGCTAAGGAACATTAGCTGGCTGCTTCTTTTTAAAAGGAGGAAATATATAGGGGTAAAAATGCCACTAGGGCTAAAATTTCTGCAAGTCAGGAAATTTTACCACTTGTGCATGACATTTTCACGGTTCATGACATGTGCAGCTTTAAATACGGAAGAGGTGGGGGATGGGATTGGGAGAGTTTTTTGATCTTTACCCAATCTGGGCATTCAGTCAAAATGTGATAAGAATAGTGTGTTTCTAAACATCTCAAGACAGAGAACAGAAGCACTGTTAAAATTGTTTTAGGTGTAAATAAAGTGAGTTGTAAGTTCTTATCTTTATTAACATGAGAAAAGTTCATATGTCATCTAATCAAAGAAGATTTGAAAATCCCAATTTTGGGATGAGGAAATTGCAAACCTTACAATACAACCAAGTACCTTTTCCTTTTTTCTGTTTCTCCAAGAGCTGGGTTGCAAGTAAGAGTCAGCATGTGAGACAGAACTGCATTTTCTATCTTTGTTGTTCTTTCCTCTTCCTTTTTCTGTGCGTTTATCTTGTTCTGTCTTCAAGGAAGCAAGATCAGACTTTAACAATAGAAACAACAGCTCCAGCCCATTTCATCTAACTTCTTCTCCTTTCCCCCCCAAAAAAGGAATGTTGTTACCATCCATAACACCATCCAAAGGACTTCTGAACAGAGTTTCCTCCTCCCCCCTTTTCTAAAAACATTCTACAGCTAAAGGAAAAATGGAATAAGGGATACAGTTGAAACAAAAGCCTTGCTTAATACTTTATATTTCAAATGGCTTAACTGTTTTTTTCTTTTTTTTTCTGTTCTTTTTGTAAAAGGTTAAAAAACTTTTAATGCTGGTTATTGCCATGGCACTTAGCAGGCTGAAGGTTACTGGCCTAGTGGATAAAGGGGAAGCACTAGACATGACATATCTCAGTTTTAATTGGGCTTCTGACACAGTCCCAGATAACATTATCATGTGTAAACGAGTGAAATGTGGTTTGGATGAAATTACTATAAGGTGGATGAAAAAATTATTCAAAGAGTAAAAATTACTCAGAGTAAATGTCAATGGTTTGCTATCAAACTGGGAGGGTGCATCAAGTGGGGTTCTGCAGGGGTCAGTCCTGGGTCCAATACTGTTAAGAAAAGCTTCCTAGCTAGAAGGGTAGTTTAGCTGTGAAATAATCTTCCATGGGAAGCTGTGGTATCCCCATCATCATAGGCTTGTAAGAACAGGTTGGACAAACACCTGTCATGGGTGTTCTAGGAGGTTTATTTGGTCCTTCTTCAGTGCAGGGGACTGGACTGGATGACCCTTTGAGGCCCCTTCCCGCCCTACATGTCTATGATTCTGTGAAATGCAAGTGAGAAATTAAAGCATCCTATGTTATGCTTAGGTAGTTTTATCTTTGGCATGTATAACCTTGCGATTCCAGTTGTGAATGCAAAGTCAGTCTAACCTCCTTACAATTGGAGTATTAATTAGATTCAACAAGGAATTTTGGGGTTATTTACTAGAACTACCCCTTTAAGTTATTGCTTCTGTAAAGTTTAGTTTAAGGTAAAAATCTTCCAGGCAAAAGAAACAGTGAAAAAGCAAGAACACCAGCTATACTTCTTGGTGCGCAGCCAAGAGCTTATTGTACTCTAAAAGAGGAACTAAGGCCTTGTCTCCACTTAAAACTTATGCCGGCATCAGTATGTCAGTCAGGGCTGAAAAACCATACACCCTCAGCAACATGGCTATGCTGACAAAAACCCCCAGTGTGAACACAGCTATGCCGAAAGAAAAATGCTGCTAACGGCATAGCTAATGCTGTTTGGGGAGGTGTTCACTTGCCATCAGAAAAACTTCTGTCAGTGTACATTGTGTCTACACTAGGGGGCCATCCTGGCTCCAGCATAGACTCTGGAGTGTAGACAGCGCTACTTTTCTGACAGTCTCTGTGAGGCTATGGAAGTGAGAGTGACAGACAGCATTGCTTTTAAACTAGTCAGTGCAATCTAAATTTCTCCCTAGCTGAAATGGGAAATTAAAGATTGCTGCCCTCTGGCCAATGTCTTCAGACAAAAGCACCAAGGGAATTCGTAAAGATTTACTCCATACCTTGGTTATGCTAGCATGGTTTGGAAATTACTACTCACTAAGTAAGAGATGGCTTAGCAAACACACACCCTTGTCCAAATGATCGATGTGAAATGTAAAATAAAACATGTCTTGCTTGAGTTTTGAGGGTCAAAACCTTTTAGATCTGAATGTGACAAATACATCCTGTAAGAGGAACAGTTAAATCTGCATATGGGAGAAGTTCAAACAAAAAGGTTTCCATTGAATAAAATTCTGTTAATTCAGACTCATGAGAAAATTGGATACCCCTTTGAGTGATGCCCCTCAAATATAGAGAGATTATGTTACAAGGGAAGCTCTTTGGGAATCGAATGTCATTTTTCTTTCTCTTTGTACAGCACCTAATACAATGGGATCCTGGCCCATGACTAGGACTTTTGGGCTCTAGGGTAATACCAATAAATAATAATAATGTTAATTAAAAAGCAAAAAAATAACTACCTGCAGGAGTGCAATTCTGATCTGATATTCCTAGGTGCCATGACTAGTCCAATAAAAGGCAGAATTGAGGTAACATCACCTGAGTGTGGAAAGGGTTCACTAGGAAGAATAAAGGCGCACAGGAAGGAAGAAGGCTTGATCTGGGCAGAAGGCTACAAGCAAGAAATACAAAATTGAGGGCTCTGCTCTAGTCATCAATGGGCAGAACCCAACTAATATTGGTGGAAACTGGAAGATGGAAATGTGGGGGGACACAGAGCCCCTTTCATGTGTGTGGCAGGCCCATCAGCTTTCAATAACTCTGTTTAGTAGGGAATCTGAGAGCTACTTGTCACTGCCCCCCAGTAAATACCTTTGTCCCTCACACAGAGCTATAAACAAATATGTTTCCCAGGTCTCCGTTTGTGTGATCGGAAGAGAAGGGATTTCTGAGATGATGGAGCCCCTGTCCAGTGCAAGGTTACAGAGGTTCCACCACCAGGACCACAGCTGAACTGTGACCTCAGAGAGAAGCTGCAGTATTCACAGCAACTAGGTAAGTTGTGTGTGGGGATGCATGTGGTGTTGGGGAGCATGGATAGCACAGTAGGGAGGGGAGTCCCTGAGGCAACCTGTATGAAATCATCAGCACAGCATTTGGTTGTCTAGTGGTGTGTGAAGGGTGTGTGGTTCCCTGTTCCTAGTAGAGTCGTGAGGTCCAGGTGTGTCTGTGTCTGTGTGGATCCCTCTAACAGTATTTTTATCATCCTTTAGACCTACCTGGACCTCATCTTTCTGCTCCTCATGATAAGGGGAATGAAGGAGACCAGGATATAGTGGTCTTGCTCCATAGGTTTGGCTTTATGGTGAGTGGTGAAATGATCTGCACTGTTCTTCCTGCCGGGCTGTGCTGTTTCCTTGTCTGTCCTCGCTCATTCCTCCCACCTCCTCCCGCTCCTCCATCGTTCACCAGCCTTTCCAACTTTCCTTCTTCCCCATCAATAAAATAACCACACCGCTTTTTTGGGAGGTGCCTTGTGCATGTGCAGCTCCTTCCACATCCTGGACAGCTCACTTCATGCCCCTCCAGGTAGCCAGGCTTTACCCCTGGCTGTTCATTCCGTTACTGAGCGGTGAGGCTATCGCAGGAACAGCATGTGCTGAGTGGGGCTCCCTTGTGGATCCAGGGGCTTGCTTCAGTGGCCTGGGTTGGGGCTAAGAGCCCTGTAGGGATGGGGAGCTTTAAGGGCAGGCTGAGTCTGGCATCTCTTGCTGTGTGGAGGAGGTTGGGATAGTGGGAAAATGGGGTTCCTTCCCCCCCAATGCTGCATTGACAGTGATGGCTTTGCCCTTTGCTGCTCAGCTTATGTTTGAGTGGTGAGATTGTGGCCAGAGCAGGCAGGTGCTGAGTGGAGGACACGTGTCATTTCAGATGCCAGTGACGTTTGAGGAGGTGGCCGTGTACTTCTCTGAAGATGAATGGGCTCTTTTGGGTGAAAAGCAGAGGGAACTCTACAGAGATGTCATGCAGGAGAATTACGAGACTCTCCTCTCATTGGGTGAGCAGTTGCTATAATCCCCATAATGTAGACATGACTTAAATCTTCTATGAGGAACACAGCCCATTTCCCACCAGACAATATGCTTGCCAAAAGATGATACTGAATGTTTGACAACCTATATGGATTATGTCTTTCCTCTTCATTCCAAGATTTTCTTTGCTGTTCTTTGTTGTTAAGTGATCGATGTAGGATTCATACAAGGTTCATGCGCTTGGCAACATTCAGGGCACACCCGGAGTGTTGTATAGGAGCTGTGCACACACAGCTCTTCTCAAGGGCATGAACCTTGGAATCTCGCCCAGATGACATGAACCGTGGGAAGCCTCCCAGGACTGGGCTCAAGGCCCGAGAGCAAGGAATGCGGTAGATAGCAATTGGTAAATAAGAATGTTAAACAAAGCCAGTGTATTCCTTTTATCTGTTGGAGAATGTAATGTGCAGGGGGAGAGAAAGAATAAAGGGGAAGGTGGAAAGCTGACAGGCAGAAGTCGGTTGGCAGACCAGCTCGCTTGCTTGCTAAAAGCTCTGTGCTGTCTTGTATTTGAACCGCAACAGATCGACAAATACTTGACAAGTTGTGTTGCATGTACCTCTTTCCAATAAGCAGGGTTTCCTGTTGCTAAACCAGATGTGCTGTCCCAGATGGAGCAAGGGGAAGAGCCATGGTTCCCAGATCTCCAGGGCTCTAAGGAAAGGGAGAACCCAAGAGGCACTAGCACTGGTGAGGAATGAGTGACACCAACCGGGAAACCATCTGGGGCTGAGGGAAAAGCTGGGATCCCAGCAAACCCACTAAGGACTGCTCCTGTTCTGTCTTGTCTCATCTCACTCCCTATTGTGTTCTGTCCTCAGGGAAGGAGTCACCCCTGGCTCCCACTTGTCCTGCCTGACCCCTGGCAGAAGCCTTTTCCTCCCCCAGCCTTTTTCTTAAGGTTCAGACGGGACTTTGAGCCAAAACTGGCCCCTCCTCATTCCTCTAGGGAAACATTAGGGAAATTTGCTTCCTGTCCATCAGGTTTTCTGATCAGTGACAAATCCCTTTGCTGCCCCCTCTGCACCCAGCACAGGCAATGAATCACATCTGGATTCTCTCTCTCTCTCCCACCAGGTGCTGGGACGGTGAGTGAGAAGGAGAAAAAAGCCCCAAAAGTAGTATCTACAGGAGCAGAACCACAAAGGATGTTCTCAGGGAGACTCTGTTGCCTTGAATGGGGAGATGCCAGTGAGAGTCAGGGCAGGACAGGGAGGCACTGGGAAGACCCTCCAGGCAGGAGCAAATCCACTCATAGCAAAAGAAGTTTAGAGAAATCCAAAGACACCAGCACCCACCAGACAGCCTGCACGGGGAAGAGCCCAAACACAGGTACTGAACCTGATGAAAGTTTCAATAAATGCTCACTCCTCGTTAAGCATTGTCAGCAAACTTGTGCAGAAAAGAGTGCCTACAAGTGTAATGAATGTGTCCAAAGCTTTTCTCAACAACAGTGCCTTCAGATACATCTGAGAATTCATACAGAGGAGAGACCCTATAAATGTAATGAATGCGGGAAAAGCTTCAGACACAAGACAAGCCTTGTTCTTCACCGTTACACAGTCCACAAGTTGGAGAGACCCCGTAAGTGTCCAGTGTGCGGCCAGCTCTTTATCCTGAGAGAGAGATTTATTCAGCATCAGAGAATCCACAACGAAGAGATGCATAGGAGGTTTAATGATGGGATTGTGAGTGAGAACAAGGATGAGCATCCTCAACAGAAAAAGCCAGTGGGAGCGGAGACTCATGAGGCATCTCAGAGATGTGAACTGGCAGATGCTGGTAAGAGTCGGGGCAGGAGAGGACAGCAGCGAGCTTACCCTGCAGGGGGGAAAGACTGTGAATCCGCTGTATGTGAAGGAAGTTCTAAGAAATTGAACCGCACCATTGCCTACCAGGGAACTAAGGTGGGAGCACAGCTGAATACACAAAGTAATAGTAAGAGAAGCTTTAGTAGCTGCACAGCCCCTGACCTGCATCAGAAAATCCACCCAGATGAGAAACGACACAGCTGTGCTGAGTGTGGGAAAAGCTACCGCCGGAACTCACACCTCCGAAGGCATCAAAAAAGCCACACGGGAGAGAAACCTTATGTATGTGCTGACTGTGGGAAGAGCTTTGGACGGAAGTCGATACTCAGTAAACACCTACGGACGCACAAAGAGGAGAAACCCTATAGCTGTGCTGGCTGTGAAAAAAGGTTCAGTGAGAGCTCATACCTTGCTCTGCATCAGAGAATCCACACAGGAGAGAAACCCTATCAGTGTCCTGACTGTGACAAAAGCTTCAGGCTGAAAGGGGACCTTTCCAGTCACTGTAGAACCCACACGGGGGAAAAACCCCATAAATGCACTGAATGTGGGCAAGGCTTTGGGCGGAAATCAACCCTGACTAAGCACCTGAGGATCCATACTGGGGAGAGGCCCTATAAATGTCCTTATTGTGAAAAAAGCTTTCGTCAGAAGTTCACCCTTTCCCAGCATCAGTTAGTGCATCTTGAAGAGAGACCTCACAAATGAACTGAATGTGGGAAAAGCTTTCATCAGAAATTCACCCTTAGCCAGCCACAGTCAGTGCACCAGGGATAGAGACCTCACAAATGTACCGAATGTGGGAAAAGCGTCAATCAAAAACAAAAGCTTGTTATACCCTTGGTAAACCTCCATGTGAAAAAGAAACCCAATAGAGCAAGTGTAACTTCAGATTACATTATCTGTAGCAGCGCAATAGGGACTCCACATGTGATATAAAACAGTGGTGTGGTACTTTCTTTGCTTGGAGAGCGGCACTTAAGTACAAGATGTAAGAAGGATGGGCGAGAAGTATTGGCTTATTTATGATGACAGATATGAGATTCAGTTGGGGAAAGGAGCTGGTGAAGGTAGGAACAGATCCTTTGGCGGGGTGTGGGGGTTAGTTGGAATTGCAAGGTAATGGAGTTGAATCTTGTGGGAGGACTGATCATAAGGGCACAGTGGCAGGAACCAAGAGCAGAGAGTGCCTGGTAACGGAGATACGGATCATTTAAAAACTGGGATGTTGCACAAGGAGGAATACTTGTACATGCGTGTGTGCGCATTTGTGTATCTTTTAGGGCTTGTCTATATGAGGAGTTCTACCAGTATAATTATGCCACTCTGGTTATACTGGTACAATTTCCCATGTGGACACTTTTATTCTGGAATAAGTGTATCCAGATGGGGAGTGAGAGATATATAATTATAGTTGTATATGGCCTGTAAAATTCCCCATGCAGACAAACCCTTAATGAGGGAAGATTAAAGGTGACTGCTGAGCAGAAGTAAGTCAGTCATGCTCCACCCCCACAGCAGCCTACCATGCCACTGTGGGTCTGTCTACACAGCAAGTAGCAGTAAGTGTCAGAACCTAGGTCAACGGACTCGGGCTCACTCTACAGCTTTAACAATAGCTGTGAGATGTTTTAGCTCGGGCTGGAGCTTGGGCTCCGTGAGTCTCAGCGCCCGGGTTGACACACTTGGGCTTGAGGAGCTCACGCTATGGTGCTAAAAATAGCGGCGAGATCTGGCTAATCAGCCTAGGGTCCCAGCCCGAGCTGCAATGTCTACACAGCTCTTTTTAGCACAGTAATTCAAGGTCAAGTCTGTTGACCCACACTCTGAGACTTGCTGCTGCTGGCTGCTCCTCACTGTGTAGACATACCCTAGCTGGCTAGTAGCACTATTGGCTAAAAATAAACTCCCTTTCACAAAATATATGGTTAATAATAACAACAGGATTCCAGGGGGAGCCAACAGGGGAGGTATGCTGCCTGAGCTCCAAGCTTCTTGCTCCTTGTTATACCCCACAGAATCTGTTCAAAATAATAGAAATCCTACTATAAATGTAGTTAATTTAGGTTGATATCAATGCACCATCTGCTAAGGGATCCCTGGATAAGAGTTTGGACCTCTCCTCTTCTCCAGTAATGGAGCAGGCCTGCAAAAAGTAAAAGCTATCTGAGAACCCATGTCAGGCAGAGATGGAGCTGCAGGAAGAAGCTCCAGATAGAATCCTGAGCAAACCTTGCAGGTGCTTCAGTAGATCTCTGAAGAACGTCAGCTGATATTGCTGATGTGAAAAAGACCACTGCAGCTCATCAAACAAGCCTATGAAGGCTCTCAAGGAGAGTGGGGCAAGTTGAGGCCCATGTATCTGCACTGGAGGACTCTGTAACAGCCAGTAACTCCTCCTCAAATCAGCAAATGCAGAGAATTAGAGCCCTACAGGAGAGAGTCAACTATCAGGAGGCAGATCAAGATATAATAATTTGCATTTGGTTGCCTTTCTGGAGGGCTTTAAAAAAGGTAAGTCTAGAAATTCCTAAATAAGGCTACCCCAGAATTCTTAAAACCCCCTTTGGGAACTGATTTTGAAATTGAGAGGGAGCACCGTTCCATTGTTAGCCCCGAAGCCCCCAGCAGATGTGAGACCAAGACCTTTCCTCATTTTTTAATGATGGAAGTTTTTAAAATGTGGCACCAGATAGTTATCCTGCATAAGGCTTGGGAATTGAAATGGGGCAGCAAGAGCATCATGGTGTTCTGTCTACACTCAGCAGGTGGCAGGGGGAAGGGCCCAGTTCAATAAGGCCATGAACAAGCATACAAGGCTGATGACGTACTACATTTCATTTCCGGCCAGATTTCAGACTAAGACTGAAGGATAATGCCACAGTTTTGGCACAGCAACAGAAGCTAAGAAATGTATGGATTCTCTGTGAGGGACTCTCTTCTGATCAGCACCCCAGAGACTGATCCTCTCTTTTACACTTCAAGGCATAGACTAGTCCTTATTTTGCTCCACCCCCAATGTCTGTATTTAAGATAGAAGGAAGGTATTCTTTGCTTGGTCTGTTTTACTGGAAACAATTTTTGAGGCTGCTTTTTTCTTTAAGACTTCTGCCTCCCCCACTGAGTATATAAGAAGTCGGGGTCTATAAAACTGTACCTGGAATTACCAATGCCAGTGGTATGTGATTATCCAGATCCACAGTGAAACCAATGACCCCATCTGCTAGGAAGGACTATGAAGGTGAAACATTTACTTGATGCATAATAATTTATACCTCCCTTGGACTGGGACTGAATCTTATGATAGTGAGCATCTGTGTAATGTGGACAGTACATGCTGGTTCATGCTGCTTGCTTTTGCTTAACAGTTACCCTGTGAGACATGAGAAGGGAATTGCAGCTCTCTGTACGGCAATTTGCTGAATCCTTCTTTCTCACTGAAACACGCCCTTCCCCAATCTGGATCTGTATAAATGGCCTCACTCTCCTCTGCAGATTTATTTCCCTCTCCTATGCCCCCCACCCCATTTTGTAAATTATTGTTAGCTGGCCTCACCTCTTGATTTTCCATCCCTTTTGCCATATCACTTCAATTTAGGTTATTGTTGATTGTTAATGATTCAAGTTACATCTATTGTGTTTATACTCTGAGCCCTGGTCTACACTAGGAGTTGAGGTCGAATTTAGCAGCGTTAAATCGATTTAACCCTGCACCCGTCCACATGACGAAGCCCTTTTTTTCGACTTAAAGGGCTCTTAAAATCTATTTCCTTACTCCACCCCCAACAAGGGGATTAGCACTTAAATCGGCCTTGCCGGGTCGAATTTGAGGTATTGTGGATGCAATTAAATGGTATTGGCCTCCAGGAGCTATCCCAGAGTGCTCTATTGTGACCACTCTGGCCAGCACTCTCAACTCAGATACACTGGCCAGGTAGACAGGAAAAGGCCCGCGAACTTTTGAATTTCAATTTCCTGTTTGCATGGTCACCTGCAGCTTACCACGCTGGCCAGAGCTTATCAGCAGAGGTGACCATGCAGAGCTCATCGGCAGAGGTGACCATGATGGAGTCCCAGAATCGCAAAAGAGCTCCAGCGTGAACCGAACGGGAGGTACGGGATCTGATTGCTGTATGGGGAGAGGAATCCGTGCTATCAGAACTCCGTTCCAGTTTTCGAAATGCCAAAACATTTGTCAAAATCTCCCAGGGAATGAAGGACAGAGGCCATAACAGGGACCCAAAGCAATGCCGCGTGAAACTTAAGGAGCTGAGGCAAGCCTACCAGAAAACCAGAGAGGCAAATGGCCGCTCTGGGTCAGAGCCCCAAACATGCCGCTTTATGATGAGCTGCATGCCATTTTAGGGGGTTCAGCCACCACTACCCCAGCCGTGTTGTTTGACTCCTTCAATGGAGATGGAGGCAACACAGAAGCAGGCTTTGGGGATGAGGAAGATGATGAAGTTGTAGATAGCTCACAGCAAGCAAGCGGAGAAACCGGTTTTCCTGACAGCCAGGAACTGTTTCTCACCATGGACCTGGAGCCAGTACCCCCCGAACCCACCCAAGGCTGCCTCCCGGACCCGCCAGGCGGAGAAGGGACCTCTGGTGAGTGTACCTTTTAAAATACTATACATGGTTTAAAAGCAAGCATGTTTAATGATTAATTTGCCCTGGCATTTCCGGCTCTCCTGGATGTAGTCCCAAAGCCTTTGCAAAAGGTTTCTGGGGAGGGCAGCCTTATTCCGTCCACCATGGTAGGACACTTTACCACACCAGGCCAGTAGCACGTACTCCGGGAATCATTGTAGAACAAAGCATTGCAGTGTATGTTTGCTGGCGTTCAAACAACATCCGTTCTTTATCTCTCTGTGTTATCCTCAGGAGAGTGATATCATTCATAGTCACCTGGTTGAAATAGGGTGCTTTTCTTAAGGGAACATTCAGAGGTGCCCATTTCTCCTAGGCTGTTTGCCTATGGCTGAACAGAAATATTCCCCACTGTTAGCCACGGGGAGGGGGGAGGGCTAGTCACGTGGTGGGGGAAGGCAAAATGCGACCTTGGAACGAAAGCACATGTGCTGTGTATGTAATGTTAACAGCAAGGTTTACCCTGAAAGAGCATACCCATTGTTCTATAAAATGTGTCTTTTTAAATACCACTGTCTCTTTTTTTTTTCTCCACCAGCTGCATGTTTCAAGGATCACAGAATCTTCTCCTTCCCAGAGGCTAGTGAAGGTTAGAAGGCGAAAGAAACGCACTCGTGATGAAATGTTCTCAGAGCTCATGCTGTCCTCCCACACTGACAGAGCACAGACGAATGCGTGGAGGCAGACAATGTCAGAGTGCAGGAAAGCACAAAATGACCGGGAGGAGAGGTGGCGGGCTGAAGAGAGTAAGTGGAGGGCTAAAGAGAGGGCTGAAGCTGAAAGGCGGTGGCAGCATGATGAGAGGAGGCAGGATTCAATGCTGAGGCTGCTGGAGGATCAAACCAATATGCTCCAGCGTATGGTTGAGCTGCAGGAAAGGCAGCAGGAGCACAGACCGCCGCTACAGCCCCTGTGTAACCAACCGCCCTCCTCCCCAAGTTCCATAGCCTCCTCACCCAGACGCCCAAGAACGCGGTGGGGGGGCCTCTGGCCACCCGACCACTCCACCCCAGATGATTGTCCAAGCAAGCAGCAGAAGGCTGGCATTCAATAAGTTTTAAAGTTGTAAACTTTTAAAGTGCTGTGTGGCCTTGTCCTTCCCTCCTCCACCACCCCTCCTGGGCTACCTTGGTAGTTATCCCCCTGTTTCTGTGATGAATGAATAAAGAATGCATGAATGTGAAGCAACAATGACTTTATTGCCTCTGCAAGTGGTGATCGAAGGGAGGAGGGGAG